ATGAGGGAGAGAGGGAGGGAGAGAGAGGGGGGGGGAGTATATTTACAACGCGTGTGCTAATCGTTTGACTTACCATATTCCATATCTTGACTTTGTTTTTCCTCTTTGGAAAATTTGAATGCCTTCGCCCACTCCTGTATTTCATTGCTTTAATATAATTTGCAAACACCAAAATATGTAATTGTGTTTGAAATTTAGGTATAATTATGAACTTTCAATAATTGATAAAAATAAAATTAAATCTAACATTAATGGATTCAAAATAACTATATTCAGATTCTGAACACTGTCTATGCAATATTCAGTCGATATATCAAGGTCTTGAGTAAGTTAATTTCATATGCACGTAAGGTCTTGTCCAGACTATCAAATTTATGACCATGTGATGTAATCATGACCCTATTTAGGAATGTCACATTTTTTCATATAAAATTACATAGTCTGGACAGAGCTTAAGTCTGTTGAGTTTGGTTTTCATGAAGACACCACACGGAATCGACATGGGGCAGTCATATTACAATGTAATATTAGGCCCTGGCAATGTCAACAGCTTCTGATGACGCCAGTTTGGTTATAATTATAGGCCATAACATAGACAATTATGGCAAAAAAAAAGACAAAAAACAAAAAAAAAAACAAGTTGAGCCATGATTTAATGTATATAAATAAACAATACTCATGGCAGATATATACATATGCTCTCTGTTTAAATTTAGAATAATGGATGAACGGATTTATCCGGTGTAAACACCAAGGGTAACACACGAAAGTCTTAAGAAGACTTATTTCTAGTGGGTCCTGGTGGTAATTGGGCAGTACACCGGGAGACAAACCCCTGCTCTTTCCCGAATACAGTACTGTATTTAACGTGCACACATTACCAACGGCTTAAACGTCTCATCCGAAAAACATCGTAACTTGCATTTCAGCTGAAAGACAAGGAGAGCAGCGGTGGGAATTGAACCGGGGACCTAGATATATCCACGGTTCAGCACACACATAGTGGCTACCTCCAGTGATAGTCGACTGATGTAAGCTGCTCTCATGATTATGGTATTGAACTTATAGCCCTGATAGTAAAATGTCTTAAAATATTGCTTTTATTCTTTATGTTCAATGTATTTTAAATTACGATATGTAATTAATTCAGTAATTTATACTATTTATGAAATACATCGTTATTAAGCCGAAGCTCATTAATTTCTATTTCAGTGCCTCCATGTAGCCATGGAGTTTTTAATATTAGTTTTAGTTGCATGTGGGATCAACATTTTTACCGACATTTTGTATTTCACAAATTTCGTCATTCGATTGAATAACTATACCACTCAATGCATTGAAGAGTTATATCATTTGCGGTGTATATCTGTTTATATAAAATTAATTAGATATTACATTAAAAAATGTAAGTACTACACTGTATTCCCTTTTATACCTTGCGGTTCTTTTAGTGAACATTGACCTACGGTATGTTTTTGTGTAGGCCTATTCATTTTTTTCGTATTTGAATAAAGTGATTTATGTAAAAATACCTGTCTTCGAGTGTGAATCCATATTCTTTGACAGGTAACTTGGTAAGAGGGTCCAACTTAGTTAGTATCAGTGTCTCACCTCCAGTGCTGCCCATGTCCTGATAAACTTGTCTTTCAAATCTGACATTATTTTTATGATCACAGTCTATCACTCTTAAGTATTCACTAATATATAGGAAAATAAATAAATATATTGATGAGCTGTAATAATTAGGGTATAAAAGAATAGCAGTAATACTAATTATAATAGTAGCAAGAACAGCCGCACAACAACAGTGGTTTAAGTAGTATGGTAGTAGTTCTTAATTTGATTTTAGATATCACAACAAGATCATTACATATTCTCAACACTCATAAGTTAATTACAGAAGTTATCACCTTAAAATACGCGACAATATAAAACTAACCATCGGTGTTTTGATAGTAACTGGTAGGCTTATATGGCATAGTAATAATTTATTACGTATTCAAATACCCTTTATCTTCCACAATAATGACTGTTGAAACAAAAGCCATCATTGTGCACTTCTTCCTCCTGTCTATTACTGAGTGCCTCTTGCTTTGTTTGACGTCCTCAGTAAGATAAATGGTACCCGTCTTTTTAACCCAACTCTCCTCGACTACCATAGCTTTCTATAAAAATTAAAGAAATTTGTATTCAAAGTTCAAAGTTCAATTTATTTTCCATACAACATAAACAAAATTTATATATATAAACGTATATATAAATATAATTATGAATATATATATATATATATATATATATATATATACATAGTATATAAATAATAAAAAGTAGTTGCATGGAAGGAGGCTATTATAATTTCTGCAAGTAAACTACAGAACTTTAATATATAACCAACTTATACAGAGTGGAAAAAAAATTAAACCATGAAGACCAAAAAATGAACACATTACAGGAAACTATTTCAGTAAGTTACTGAAACAAAAATTAAAAAAAACAAAAACAAAAAAAAAAAACATTGTTCACCAGGTTTATGCCTTGTAATTTTATAATAATTTGGTTAGGAATAAATATATAAGACGATAAGACTATATTTCGGATTTGAAAAAAGGAGGTTAACTAGTGTGTGGATGTTTAGGCATATGCAGAGATCAGAGACCTCTTGAAATTATATTTAAAGCTATTAAGAGTGTATTTATATTTAGTATTATCGGAGAGATTAGCCCATAATTTTGGCCCAAAGTAAAAAATGGAATGTCTTCTAGCATTGGATAGCCAAGTAGTAGAGGTGTAATTAGTAGAAGAGAACCTTGTACTATAGCGAAGACGTTCAGTTGCTTGAGTGAAAAAATTAGAGATGTGGAGTGGTAAGGTGGCATTGGACAATCGAAACATAAATTTGGCAGTTTGTAGTTTAAGTCATATATATTAAGAATTTTACTATCATGAAATATGTGTTTGGTGTGAGCTCTGTAGGGAACATCACTACAGATTCGAAGAACTCGTTTTTGAAGACGAAAGAGATAATCAATGTTGGTGGTTTCGGAACTTGTCCATGGACATAATGTTTCAAATGTGTTTATTGTAATCCTCCATGCTATATTGCAATAAGAAATATATGGTAAAATTAAAGAGCTGTACAAGGTTAAAAGAATTTTAGCTGGAAAGAACTTTTTAAGTTCGTTTATTATCCAATATTTCTTAATATTATGTTGGAACCTGCATAATGTGGGATTTCAAAGTAAATTTGGAGTCAATCGTCAATTTAGTTTCATTTACACGAGATATGATGTTGTCGATTAATAAATTCTCTTTGGATTTGATAACATTATGCTGAGTAAAAATTATGTAGTTACATTTAAAACTATTGTGTGATAATTTATTAAGTTTGAACCAGTTAGATACCTTAGTTAATTCATTATTCATAATGTTAAATAATAAGGTTTTGTCATTATGAGAAAATACAATATTACGGTCATCTGCAAACAGAACAAACTTTAATAATTTGGAAGAATTTGGTGGGTCATTAACGTAAATTAAAAATAAAAGTGGGCCAAGAATTGATCTTTGGGAAACACCACAAGAAATAGGTAGAAGAGATGAGTCAATGGAGTCAACAGAAGTAAATTAGAAGCGGTTGGAAAGATAGCTTTTTAAAAGTTGGAGAGGAAGGCCGCGGATACCATAGTTTTCAAGTTTGCGAAGAAGGATTTTGTGGTTAATGGTATCAAACGCTTTAGACAGATCTAAAAAAGCACCGATCATATATTCTTTTCTCTCAAGAGCAACTGTAATTTTATCGTACATGTCAATAAGCGCAAGTTCTGTTGAGTGGTGTTTTCTAAAACCATATTGACTTTAAAATAAAACTACACCATCTTAGCATCACAGACAGTGAGAAACCTTGGCGTACATTTCGATAATTCCCTACAAATGAAATCGCATGTAACTTCCATTTGCCAGTCCTCTTTCAGAGCCATCCGCAAAATTGGTTCTATTAGAAATTATCTGGATGAAGAAACAACAGTAAAACTTATTCATGCCTTTGTAACATCACGATTAGACTACTGCAACAGCCTCCTGAACGGTCTGCCAAAATCAGAGATTGACAAGCTGCAGCGAGTACAAAATGCAGCGGCAAGATTAGTTACTCGAACTAAGCGACATGAACACATCACACCCATTCTTCATTCACTTCACTGGTTACCAGTAAAGCAAAGAATAGTATTTAAAATATTGCTGGGCACTTACAAAAGTAAACTATATAATTCACCCACGTACATCCGAGAACTCATTGAAGAGCATCGTTCACATCGCTCACTAAGATCTGCATCTAAAAACCTCTTGCATGTTCCTAAAACATCTACAATCACTTATGGCAGCAGTGCATTTTCCTCATCATCTCCCCTTAATTGGAACAACATACCATTTATTTATAAAAGAATCAAAATCAGTGGACACATTTAAGTCACTACTTAAAACCCATTTATTTCAACAATTAACTGTAATTTATATCGTGTTGCTTCACAACGGAGTGGCCTGCTTTGTCTCTTGGGGCAGCTATCTTGGTCGCAGACTCTGAGCACCCGGTCGCCTGTGGCAGGGCAAATGTGAAACCTGCTCCTTTGTTCGCGCCACCTAGGTAGGTACCGGGACTGCGCTAGGGCAGAGGCGGATAGTTGACCCTTTGAGACCTAGCGTTGTTTTGCCACCACACCCTATTATATTGTAAATTCAACATCTTTTCTATAATTTCTATAATTTTATGTAAAGCGCATAGAGGCACTGTACAATATGCGCTATATAAATGTAACTTATTATTATTATTTAATAAGAAATTTGTATAATCTGTTATAAATTATGCGTTCTAGTATTTTGGATAAACAAGGAAGAAGAAAGATTGGACGGTACAGTAATTGTCAAAAAGGTAAGGATTTTCCTTTTTATAGATGGGTATAACTTTCTAGCTATTTTTAAAGGGTCGGGGAATACACCAGTTGATATGGATAAGTTAATAAATATATATATATATATATATATATGTATGTATGTATATATATATATATATATAATAAGGGTTTGGATATAAAATATGAGACTTGTTTTATGATTTTGTTGGAAAACCCGTCCATTCCTGGACTTTTATTATCTTTTTAACTGTGTATTTACTTTAAGAGTTCATCCTCAATAATTGGATAAAGAAAAATAGAATCCTTGATGGGCTTAGGTAAAAAAGAAGTGACTGAGTTGAATTAGCGTACTATTGATACTATTGGAAAGTTTAGTGCCATTGATAATAAAATATTAATTAAAAAGTTTAGAAATAGTTAAGGTTCAGTGATTTTGATTCCATTAAGCAGCATGTATGAAAGCATGACATTTTTAGTCTTCTTACCCAGAACAGTGTTTATTGTTTGCCATGTTTTGTAGATATCATACTTTAAATTGTTGAATTTTTCATTTTTATTAAAAACGTAATATGCATTTAACATATAAATAGGCATAGTATGTTGGCTTTTGTTTCTTGCATTTAAGTTTTTAATCTGTATAATATTTTTCAATAAAATGTGACTGTCTTTTTTTTTGGGTTAATTCTAGGATTGACTGTCCTTGTATTTTCTCTGTCCTTTCAATCTCATGCATCAATTTTTCTGCTTTTTCATACGTTCACTTTACATTTTCTTTAGTTGGACATTACACGTAGACAGCGTGTTTATTTGCGCCTGTTATAAATCAACTTATTATTATTATTATTAGTGATCCCGTAAAAGATGTTTGATACAGGCGATAATGTAATATAGCATAAAGTAATGTAACGTAACGTAACGCAATATAAAATAATGTAATGTAATATAATATAATATAATATAATATAATATAATATAATATAATATAATATAATATAATATAATATAATATAATATAATATAATATAATATAATATTTATTTATTGAGTATTCGGCATCCTATCATGTTTAATTATTGAAAAATTTATTGGGTCCAAAGTCCGCCTGAGCATCTGACATAATTTGCATGTTGATTTTTTTTAATTCTGTTATAATACTATGTGTATGACGATTATTAACATGTTGACTGCCGATCAGTCACTAATGCTGACTTACCTGAGACTCGCGTTCTTTCACATCTACAGATTCGAATCGAAGTTTTTGAAGTATTGAAGTGCTGTGATGCTGAATATTTCGAATAATGCGGCTTTCGTGTTCATTACAGTTCAGAATTATTTGTTGCAATTTGCAACAACATTCTTTCATATCTTCAATCACCGATGTGTCTTCCACTTTCTCAACAACTAGAGCGTCACAGAAACTCTGATAAACAAAATAAGAATCACGATTATTGAACACTGAGCATGAAGAAATTGTTTGTGAATTATTGTGAAGTTGCGTATTGTACAGTATGTAAACAGCATAAACGCACGCATATTACCTTTAATATACTATGGAATTTCTTCAGCCAGTTAGCTTGTTTCATTATGATTTCTTGAAGATCTTTAAATGATAGTTTGTAGTTCATTTTTTCTTCGGAGCCTCGTTTTTGTAAACTTGTAAACTTTTCCGCAAAATGGAGATTCCCATACCTATAAAATGGCAAGTTGTAGTACTTTCAGTAGTAAAACTATTCTATGTTCCATGAAGAAATTGTCAATCTCGTCTCTTATTTTTTATAGGAAAATTCTGTCTCTATTATAAAGCCTGAACAAACTATCAATATCACGACACACTTACCTTATGCATTTCAACATGTTCATTTGAAGCTGTGAATATATTGCAAAGTTGATTATCGGTTGTAAATAATCTGCTTCAAGAATATTGGTTATTAGTTGACAAATAGCGGAAATTTGCCATTTACATTGATTGAACCAAGTATAGAACCTATTTTTTCAGTAGAAACGGAGAGTTCTGATTATTACAATGATGAATTGCAAAATCGATTGTGTAGAAAGAAATCTGTGTAAAATTACATGTATTATTCAACTACTTAGGCCAAGTAATAATAATAATAACCATCTTGAACATCATCATCGTCACTATCATCATCATCATCATGATCCACAATTAATACCAAAATCATTGCGTCCAATGGGAGTTTGGTCAATTTATATGTACGTGCATATTTTGATTTTTTAATATTGCCGTCGTATTCATTTTCAATTAGTGGTTAATCAAGTTTATATAAATACTCAGATTAATGTATTTTTTTTTTCTCACCATCATAAATTCTTACATCTTTTGGCGTTTTTTTATTACTTTGCTTAACATCCAAGGACGGAATTAGTGAGATGGGCGGGCCGGTCCCGTCCCCAATCCAATCCGATCTTTGACTATAAGGCGCATTATACGAAGTCTCAATGAGCCAATTTGAGGTAGTGCTCGGAAAAAAAATAGAGTAAAAAAAAATATTGATCGCTCCAAACGCCTCATGATTTATTTTCGGCCGTTTAGAAAACACAGTTTTACAGTTTTAGCGGGCGGACTCCCTTGGGTAGTTTTGGTCCACTCCCTTTTGGACATTTCTGGATCCACTTCTGACCTCTAAAACTATATGTTCATAACAGAATATGGTATACATAAATTGTAGGCCTAGTTCTGTTCTGTTTAGAATACTTTAAAAATTAAATCTTATTCGCACACCTACTAAAACCGAAATAATGTACCACATTAAATGCCTCATCTGATCGTGTTTATTCAATACAGGCCTACATATTTAATGGTCCCCTTAAATAATAAACTGAAATATTTAATTGCTCATTTAAACAATTTATCAACGTCTAGAGAGACACTAACACACAATCGTTCATATATAAAATTTTACTCCAAGTATATTTTGATTTTCTGCAAGCAATAATTAATTTTTCTGAATAATACAGGAATTTTACTAATTATGTATAATAATTTGTAATTACTACAAATTTTCCTTTTGTTTTATTTATTTATTTATTAGATTAACACAATATAGAATTAACATGTAGACATACACACATATCATGAGTTTTATTTGATATATCTATCACTTTGTCAATGCAATTCTACTTCTTTTTTTTTCTGTTATATTAAAATTTATTTATATAATTATATTTATAACATTATCGCAAGACGGTTTAGAGTTTATCCCTATTATGTCATGATGTACATACAATACATACATACACTCATACTTACACAAATAGGCATACATACATACACACACATGCACGCACGCACACACACATGCATGCACACACACATGCATACATGCATGCATACATACATATGTATACATACACTATTACCTTGACATCATGTTCTCTACATCATGCGTATTTGTCATCAGGTGTCGCAGTTCTCCACTATTTAATATAAAATTATATCGGTCGTTATCTATACATTCCTCCTTTACAAGTTTAAGATCTGTGTAGCTTTTTTCTACATGTTCATATAATTTTCTTAGTTCCTGAAAAAAAGCAAATGTTAATCTTTACATTCGACTACTAATTCTTAAATTTGTTTACTATCACTTTCCATCTGCATTAGTAAGTTTTTAAATTAATATATCTTTCCATTTGACAGACAAAGATCCGGGATTTTCCATGACCTTCGCACAGATGGGGAAATCCTTGCAGTGGTGAATCCAGAAATTGGAAATAGAAGGTGACAAGAGAGGAACCTTCACAGATAGACACCTCATAAAACTCATAAAATGGTATTATTTGGAAGATTACCCTTGCAATATGGCTTCATTTATCCAACTAGTTGCAGTATCAGGACCACAATAAATTAGGAATTTCGACATTGGAACAGGGGGTCGTCTTTTACGCAAGACATACAAATATCAACCAAAAATTTCCAAAAACTCGGGGTTCGTCTTATACGCGACATCGGTGCAGAAGTAAAAATGAAGTTTTTTAATGGTTCTCTTTTTTTCCCTTCACAGTGGCAGTAAAATCAGTGGCGTTATACTAGGGCCTTGGCCTGTGCTTTTCTGAGACTATGGGCTCTTTTCCGGTTCCGGTCGCTAATCCCACTTTGGGGTTTAGATGTGTTTTTTTTTTTAAATGTTTACCACTATTGTAAATGTTTTTAACGACGAAAAATCATATTAGTAGCTGATCTAGTCTTATTAGTAGGAATTTAAAATCGCACCACCTGAGCCCCACCATAGTTGGGGCTGGGGTAAGAAAATTTATGATAATGGCATCTCTAGATGGCTGGAAATGACACTCACAGACTTCCAATTTGAACATCATGCATTCTTTTTTTATCTCTATTGTTTTTACAATTGACAAACCATGGGCCCTTAATCCGTCACTGTACCCTGTGGGTAGGGGCCCGCGCCCCTAGGAGTCGAGGGCCCTGAGGACCACGGCATGAAAGCGCATAGGCGTTTACGAAACTGAGTACATTCCACAACTTATGGATAACAGAAATTTGTGGAGAAGTCATAAAAAATTGTAACTTTGTTCATCATTAACCGGATGTGCACGATAAAGAAAGAGAGAGAGACAAGGAAGAAACTTCTGTGGTAGCGTATCGAGGGAATAGCACCTCCTCATCTCCATAAAAGTCTCAAATTCTCACACTTTTGTCTTACCTCAGCCTCAACCACGGTGGGCTGAGGTGGATGGATTGGTAGTTTTCAGGCATCTACAAAGTCTCAACTTCTTAAGATTTACTCATCTGAGTCCAAAAACCATGGTGGGCCTCATGTAAATTCAGGTGCTGTTTTAGGCATTTATACGAGTCTCAAATTCTCAAGCTTCCAAGGGGCCCCGACCCTTAGTATAAATGCTCGCAACCATATAGAATAATCCAAATTGATTTTTTTTCTCCGCCACCCCACTGATAGAGCTATGTTGGTATATTGAAAATATAGTTTTAAGGTTTCAATGGCGAAGACAAAAAATATAAATATTAAATGCTTTCGGTACACCTTGTAGACACTCCCTTTTTGTTTTTGTTTGTTTGTTGTTTTTTTTTTAATGAGAGTCTCGATTGAAGCAACTCAATCGAAAGGTCGATAGTCTCTAAACAAAAACAATTCGTTTTAGAAATATCTACGTGGTAGCGCAAGCATTTATTATTACATTAAATTGTCATAATAAAATGCTGAATAATATAGGACATACCAAGACAGACCAATAATACATACCTCGCCTGATTTCCCTTCGGGTGGTACACATGTGCCGTAAATATCGTCTGAAAATATACACTATTAAGTACAGTAATCTCATAATGTTAAACAAAAATACAGTACAGCATTAAATTTTGTTTGCATATCAATACACATTTGCAGTGTATGTTTTAAATAGGCATATTATATAAAACTGTAAATTCGTCATCTTTATGTGGCCAGTATTGAAAATACTCAACGGCTTTAATAATATATTGTGTAGTTTGCTCAATATTTGGAGTATATAATAATGGTCGACGTTTGTGCATATTATGGGGACCTCAACAGTATGCGTTTATCAAGTAAGTACCTGTATCTAAGACAGAATGCTAAATAAAGAACCCGGAAACTTCATTAAAATGCTTTGTTTTGATTTTCTGCTATTTTAGCATAAGTATAACTAGTCACACGCAATCTGGTTTCAAACTGAAACATGTGGTCTGTAACTGCTGATTTATGAAATAAAAAAATTATGATGTAAAAAATTGGTTTATTATTTAGAAACAAGTGGATTATTAGTCACACGCAGTTTATAAGCGTCAAAAGGGTGTCTAGACCGTTAAGAAATTGCAGAGGGATCCAATATCGTCTTTAGAAATTAACACCATTGACAAAATCTGTTAGGGCCCTATAAATCAGATCAGAAAGAAACTGAAGCAATATGATTTTATAGATATTGTAAATTTTGTACTATTCAGGGGCTATTTTAGGCATTTATACGATTCTCATATTCTCAAAATGTTCTCAGATCACCTGAGCCCCAAACATAGTGGATTTGATGGTTTTTAGAATTCAAAATATTTAAGTGCCATTTTCTGGTACCTATTTAATTAATTCGGTTTTTTTGACACTAAATTCGTCAAAAACTTTTTAAAAAAAAGGTAATTTAAGTTCCACTTTCGGGCATCCAGCGGTATAAAATACCGCCAACAACCACAGTGCTGCTGATGTTGTGTGGACTCTCATTTCATCAGCCTAAATATAGTTTCCAACACGAGAGATTTGAAATGCGTGACTACACAAGTTGGGTGGGTGGTGTCTCCCGGGTCCATGGGTGGAACTTCTGCGGAGGTTCGTGTTCCAGTCACCATAAGCAACAGTTGGTTGTAACAATAAACCTGCAAGACTGCTCGCGACTACTAGATTCTACAAGTGCGTGGTTGTCTGGGTTGTTTTGTTCGGAAAAGAGAAATTTTCTCTGTTAATTGATTCTCGAACGAAATAACGAAAGCTCTCTAATGACTCAAGCTACTGTATGACCGTTTTTATATTTTTAATAAAACCAAAGTACTTCTAATTTTCAAATACGTTTTCCCCTGAATTTGTGAAACTTCGTTATCGCGCATGTGCTAAATGCGTGACACTCACTTATAATTTCGCATGTGCTTCTCCAAAATGCGTGTTTCTTCCAAAATCACTTTGAAACGCTGAACCGTCAAGCACGATGCGAGACGGTTGGTAACTATGGCATAGATAACTGCAGAGCCCTAGGTAAAATTGGTAAAAATGCACCTGATCGGACCTAGAGAGTGACAGAGCTTTAGTGTTGTCTACTCAGGCGAAACTCTTAATGATCATGCATTCTGAGATTGTTTTAAACAGATACGGCATTAACGCCCAGAAATATGTAAAAAATATATTTTATTTAAAAGATTCAAGAATATTGAGAACGAACTATGGTCAAGTCATATATATGTTATCGTTTAAGGTCTATTATGCATTTCATGAGTCTATGATATGGTATAATATTGACAACAATAGAACATGTGTAGGTGGAATTTTGCCAAACCTGTCGTGAAAACGTACTGAATACTAGATCAATGCGTATGAAAACACTTGCAAAATAGAACCCGCCGTTTACTTGGGCTCGAATTCAACCCTGGCCATCAGGTGCAAGCTCAGTGGTCTACAGGTATGATACCAGGCTATTTATCTGGAGAACGTGGGTTCGAGTCCCACCGGAGAACAACTTGCAAATATTGTTTGCACGCACTGAGTAATTAATTTTCCTGACGCAAATCCAGGTATCTATTTCATCACAATAATAACAGTTACCATTCAATAATAGAACAGTCATCGACCTACTTGCAGTGAAATGAATCTAAAATGTGTTCATGAAGTTATGATCCCCTGACTGTTAAATGTTTAAAAACGTACACAACAATAGTTGTACTAACTATAAAAAAAAAAAAACCAAACAGATACGTGCCTGCCAATATTTTATTTTATTATCTAATAATATAATTTCAATAAGTAGTTTAGTGCATCGTACCGTACGAAGATGATAACAATTACCTCAACAATAGAATAATCATCGACCTACTTGCAGTGAACTGAATCTAACATGTATTTATGAAGTTATGATGACCTGACGTGATTCAAAATCATACACAATAATAGTTGAACTAACTTCAAAATACCACAAGCACAAACATGCGTGACGACATTGTATTGATTTAGAAATGTGATTTCAAAATGTATATTAGTGCATCGTATACTTAAGGGCTTGTTTGTTGCTTTTTTTTTTTTTAACTTGCAGCGTTTGGGAAATAGGTGTAATAGGTAAATTGTAATGAATATAATTAATAGCTCTGAAACCTAATATTACTGAAGGGTCCTTTTAAAGGTTAAATAGGATTTTTTTAAAGTTATATTTTTAGATCATTAGACCTATTGAACGAGCCCTCCAATAGCCCTGGGCCCCAGTGCTGTACACTGACTGCACTGTTTATACCTACGCCACTGGACCTGAGTATTATTAGTAGTTAATTAACGTTATGTACTGTATCATGCGCTATAGGAGTGGAAGACCATAATGTATTGGAAATGTCCCTCTCTTGTAGGGCCTGCAGCACTATCCGTGTAAAAATGTAAGGTATAGAATAGTGTGGATTTAAACATTAACCTAATGCTAATGGTTCAAAATAAGTGTCAAGGAAAGTAAGTATGATTGTTAGAAAAATGGTCAACGTCTTATTTTTATTTCCCACCCTGACCTTCGCCTGGGCGAACTTGGCGAAGGTCAGGATCCGCGGCTGCGAATTCTGTATTTTTTGTGTAACTATTGAGATTGAGGACATACATACCGTAGTAATCGACCAGTTTTGGTACTGGGGACATCAGATTTTGGTATGTTCCTACTGGTAGTACAGGTGAGCTAGAGTATAAATATAGTATATCTATAAATATAGTATATCTATTTTCTGAAACCAATATAAATTCAAAAAGCATATTACCTAAATAAACTGGTATCTTAGGATATTAGTCCTATGAGTGCAAAGAATATATGCTGACTCAATATCGTCACATGGACTTACATTGGAGCGACCTCACTTCCTGCACTGTTGGTAGTGTTTTCTTCACCTTCTGAAATCCATTAAAAATCTTATTAAGGATCTTTGCCGATTAAATCATACTTTTGTATTATATTAAGTGCTCATTTAACAATTATGTACCACGTAGTACCATCCAAGGGCAGATGCTGAGATGTCCGAAAGGGGGAGTAGCGATCGAAAGACAACACTACACTAGGGAGATCGGGAATGTTTGGTTTTCTAGACGCCTGGAAATAGCCTCTGATTCGTTTGGAGCGATTAATAATTTCTTTTTCTTTCTTTCTCTTTTTCTCCGCCCCCCACCCCCACCAACTCCGCACCTGCGATTTGTGAATGTTTAGAATTGCATAAACTATTATTGATGCTGGGAGCCTAGCCCAGGCAAAATTATACTCGCTAGTAGACCCACTTCAGAAGCTTCGGCCCCCCTTCCTGGTAGATTCTATTGTGCGCTACCATTATAGTTAGATAGATACATAGCCTATGATGCCTTTTTGATAATGAAATTGGTCCTATATTAAAATTGCTTAAAATATTTAGAAAAAGATCACATATATTTATATAGGTCTCTTACCGTTATTCATAGTATTCTCTTTACCGGATATTTTTCTTAAAGTCTCGTCTGCATTATTATCTAGTGCATCGAGACTTTCGAAGCGATTAACAATGTAAGCGACATGCCCACCTTCAATAACCCCAGGTTCGTTTAATTCTGCTGCATTTTCAGCAGTCTGCTTTGTAGAGTTTTCCAAATCATCATCTTTTTGTTGGATACTTTCATTACTCTTTTTTTCATCGACTATTGGAACTTCCGCATAATCCTCCTCCTCCTGCTTGATAACATAGTATACTGCATCATCCTCGTTTATGCTGGTGTATTCTTCTTCTTTTTCGTAATCGCATGCCTCTTGTTTATCAGTTTCCGCGGAGCTCTGAAAACATGTTGGTTTCTTAACCGCATTTATCGTAATTTCAAATGATTTACTTATAACCTTTGATGTAGCATCAAAACATGCTGTTTCGATAAATGTTTCTTCGACGTGCACCTCGTTTTGAACTGGTACATCATCTGGTTTCTGGTCTTCTAGCCGTGTTTGCTGTTTCATTATTTTGTGATCTTCAACACTTTCCACGGTAATCACTCCACTTTGAGTATTTCCTTTGATCCAGGAGGTGTTTTCGCGACACACTAAAAAAAACAAGAGAAGGTAGCTGAGCTTCAGCTTGTATGAATTTACATTAAAATTAAGAGGGGTTTAAGTACTTAGGAATGCTATCTACCTCATTTTTGTACCTTGTGTAGGAATATTTATGTCAATGAAACGGGTTGTTTAGGCTTAGATTTATGCAGCAACCACACACAAAAATATTAGGCTGACAGGGTATTGAAAATTAGAATATATTATTTATCATTTTAATGCTATTTTCAGTTACTTCAGTCATTAAATAACACCTCAACCTGACCGGCGTACGCGACAACCAGCTTGTTGGTGTTTGTACGTGATGATACAGATACAGTATTTAGGCCTAATTATAATTCCTAATTGGTAATCATGGTAATATATTTGATGAGAAATTAAGAAAAAAAATATTCAACTGATGTAGGTCTACAATACTGATGACTATCAAGGTCATATTTCAGTATAAAAGCCATATAAAACCCACCTTTTATCTGCCACTCAGACATTAGACTTTTAATGCAGGCAACTATATCGTCAATTTCACATCGTCTGTGTCTCTCCATTTGCCAACATTTGAACATCATTGGTTTCATCAACTCAGGAAAGTCTTTAGGTATTTCGAGCAAAATTCCCTGTTTCACCTTGGTTTCAATATCAGAAATCAAGTGGTCCGACCACGGCTGTTGACACGTCCACAGCTCCCAGAAAACGACGCATAATGAGTAAATATCTGATTTTTGAGAAACCACCCGATCGTCCGTAATGACCTCGGGGGCTGCCCATGATTTAGTACACCCGCCGAGTCTAGAGACTACTGATTCTGTACTGGTGAGTTCTTTTGAGATGCCGAAGTCGCATATTTTCAGACGATTTAACGATTCTTCACCTTTTTCATGAATAATATCATCACTTAGAAGAACGTTAGGTGATTTTATATCTTTGTGGGTAATACGACGCGCATGCAGGTACTGAATGCCAATAGCAATATCAAGGCACCAGTGGGTAAACTGTCTTCGTGGAAGCCTTGCTCCAACTTTCTCTGTGCGTTTAGATGCCAAGAAGTTCAAAAGATCGCCCCCTGAAGCATATTCGATGACAATCCCACTGGAAAATGGAGGGTTTACAATCCCGTAGAATTTAATGATGTTTGGGTGATCAAGTTTTCTAAGAATATTGACCTCTTTATCGTGAAGTTGCTTATTGTAGATCTTAATTGCAACTCGCCGATTATTTTGTGATGTCCACAATGCCTTGTGAATCACTGTTCCAGAACCAGCGCATCCAATTTCGTGTACATCTGTAAAATCCCCGAACGGTATCGTGTATGACTTGTGTGAATCCATAGTACCAAATGGAGGAGTTTTGGTATGTATGCCTACTTGTATATCACACGTGCATTGCAGTTTTTCGAGGTCAGGCGGAAATCCGGTACTGTACGTAAAAGGCCGATGACGAAGAAGTTGTGTAGGCCTACGTCACTATCATAGGCACAGTAGATTGGTTGTCGTTGAAATGGAAATTTTTATGTGTTAAGCTGTCGAATATAAAATAGAGCATATAGATAGAGATAAATATTATTATTTTTTTTATTTATTCTGCATGCACTACCCTATTACCCTGATAGTAAATAATAACAGCAGTGCTCAAATAGAGACATATTGTTGTAATCGTATCAAGCATCTATAGCTCATCAACAAAAGCTCCTTTATTTGAGTTGTATTAAAAAAGTATCTGGTGAGATTCGAACCTGCAACCCCACGCTGTCAAGAGCAGTATCATACCCATTCGACCACAGAGACATATAGGATATAGGCCTATGTGCAGTTTTCTCTTGTGCTGCTGCTACAGGCGGATGAGGGACGATTGAGTCCATTTTCAAACGATTGGCCTAAGAGTAGGGACGTTCGTAGGCCTAGGCTCCCTCTATGCCTGGGCTAGGTCGGACCAGCAGGTCTTTTCAGTAGTCTGGGGCCTAGTCCTAGATTGTGCGTCCAGCAACCCGCAGCAGTCCGTCTAGGCCTATGCCTCATTTAACGTGAAGTTAAGCCTATGCAGAATCTGTTGTAAGACCCTCGCCCAGGCTGCTGAAGAATCTGCACTGAATAGGCACATAATACATAACATTTATACAGTACAAATGATACACGTTGGAAAGTTGATATATTTACTTAAATTACATATATTAACATTCAGTTCCCTTTCCCTTTTTCCGGAATATAGCCGGCAATATTATTTCAAAGCACTCAAAACTAAAAAAAAAAAATCTTCATTTCAGCAGTCATGTTGTAAAAGTTGTAATTTTAATTTATTAGGCCCGTTTTCTCTTCCAGTAAGATAATTTGTCCATAGGATTAAGATTAGAAAATCTATAGACGTAGTACAGGGGTGGTGCCAGGATTTGCCCGGGGACCGAGGTCCCCGACGAGGGGACCGATTGCGTCGAAAGTGTTCCATGGGGCTCCCCCTACCACACAGGAGGAAAAATAAAAATTTTTGGTTTGAAAGACTTACTTAGTCGATTTCGGTGTCAACTAATATGTAGAAAATACAATACATTTTTTTTTCTCCGACGAATTGTGTTTTTTCTCCCCGACAGGGGGTGGGAGAGAATATTCAGACCTCCCCGATGGAGGCCTTTCCCCCACCCGCTACCATGAAAGAATTAGTTGTACGGATTGTGTTTTGCTGTGCTGTGAGACAGGGCCCACACTTTGTCGAGGAAATTAATTAATACAAAACATAGCTGAAGTTATGCATGACGTCAACATACAAAGCCACGCCCCCTCGGCTGAATCCGTTGTATTTAGCAACTACCGATGATGGCGTCCATAGAGCAATTTTCCTCCATTCTAGAGGCGGCGCTATACAGTTCATCAAGGAGAGCCATGATAGAAAGAGTTGCGATATTGAGAATTTAGAAGCATTTTGTGTCAAACGCGATGACGTTCTGTGTCTAACGTTATGTGCGTTCCTGTGTATAATATTGTATAAATACAGTTAGCGGCCTCATGTATAGTTTAATTCCATTTAATCTTTTTAGCAGTCGAATTCCATGTAACTATGATTGTTTTAATGATTTCACTACGTTATATCCAATTTCATATAAATACTGTACTGTAATAATTTACTCTTTTTAAGCAGTTCTTTAATCCTCGCCGATAGACCGAGAGAGCCCCCTCGATGGCAAGCATTCTTATTAGGCAATCCTGCCATATAGACCCTTAAGTAGCTCCTTTTATTTTTGCAAATAAATGATAGGTGACGACGAGCAAAAATTTATTAAATATATAATTATATCAAAATGTAATTAAAATCTGTATATGGGTATATATAGATTGTTGCTCTTATGTTAATAATTTGATCATTATTATTTATAAATATTGAAATAATGTAGGTCAGTTAACCGCAATATAAACTGTGCTTTTCTGTAAATGTTATAAATTTTAAGTGTTAAATGATATACAGGATCTCTGATATATTAAACTTTTGTAGTTGAGTAACGTACATTTTATTCCGAGAAAAGTCTCGCCTCTGTTTTAATATTGTATTATGTCTGTACAGTACGTATGTTACTTAATTATGAACACACTGCAAGAACGTGTCCGCTGTTTAAAAAGCGTGGTTTCCAAAATAAAGTTATAATTATATATTAGTATGCAATAGAAACAGCAAATTATTTTTAAGATTATAAAACATCACCTTTATTTTCATTGCCATTTGTATTTATACAGGCTGTACAAACATTGAAATTAAGAACAGCAATGTTTAATATTTGTTTAGCGAACAACTTTTAAAGATCGTCAGAAAAGGGCGAAAAAAAACAACTTTTTTCTAGGCTAATGAGAAAATAAAAATGAAATTTTAATGAAGAACTTAAACAGTGTAATAATGCAATTGATAAATGCTTTAAATTTCTGGATATATTAAATGTATTTTTGTTGCTCTTAAATTCGTCGTTATACTACTTTCTGTTCGGAAGTTTGGCTTAGCTGTATTGTACATGAGCTTATACAGACCAGATACGGTCACAAAGCAAGACCTTAGGCTTGTCTCTTATACACATCT